TCTCTCTCTCTCTCTCTCTCTCTCTCTCTCTCTCTCACCGGTAACCACAGACACTCTTTTTTTGCCTTTTGCATCGGGCTTCATTCAAGTCGGTGCAAAGTTTTCGTTTTTGTTAGAATCCTTTAGCTGACTGCCATCAAAGCTTTCTTTCTGATTGTGCAAAATATAGCAAAATTTGTGAAAGAATAAATTGTGAATTGGTCAAATTTTCTGTTTCGTGATGATCCGGTAGTTTCTCTAGAATTTTTTGTAACACCAAACTTCAGCCACAAGGTTACTACATTTCCTAGTTCGTGAGCACGCTCTGCAGATGCAAATGCGAAATTAGAAACTAAGGCAGATTGAATAAAAACGGGCATCGTTTGGTGAAAGTAAAAGCATCGCTGGGAAAACAATACGTTTTTTTACTCTGACTAACGTGTTGCAAAAGCATAGCGTTAGCGATAACAAGATACGATTAGCACTTGTTGAATGGTCGTGTTGACCAAGCACAGTCAGCCAGTTAGTCAGCCCTTCTTCACATGATCCGCATCCATGGCGTTCACGCTTGAAAACAGCCTTCTAAGGACGAGGGCTTCCTGACATGCTTCATTCAGATGTTTGGTTGTGATTGCTCTAATCGTAGCACACTTGCGGAAATAAACGATTTTTGCATTTGTCTTTGCATTTTGGTGCATTTTCTTAGCACAAGTGATTCGCACCAAATCACAGCATTTAAATGCAACTAGAATTTAAATCTCAAATAATGGCAACAATTTTGTTAGTGTTTGTTAGTAGCCGGATAGAATCTTATAAAGAATCTGATAAACAATGAGGATTGTACTGTTTGATTTCCTTTGATGCATTTGAATCGTCAGCACCACACAGCTACGGGTATGAAAAGAAACACGAAAGAGCAATCAAGAAGTGGGACGTTTAGAACGGAACGCTTTCTTCTATAATATGCTAATGTCGATCTTAATCAATGGGTGCAAACTGTGTACATTCAAAGTCTTGAGATGAAACAACAACACCTTAACTCATTGGGAAAATGTTGATTCGATCACTGTATAATGGGTCTATTTTCACAGTTGCTTTCAATGCTCCGGAGCAAGCAATTGGCGTCGATTAGGGAGCGATAATTGATGCTGAACGATGCAACGTTGCTCTCGGGCGCCAGTGATAACTCAATTGCCATTGTCTGCACTGCACTGCGCCCTCTGCGTCTTCTTGCTAATTGCTTGCTAATCACTGTTTGCCATTTGTCAATGTTCGTCCACTGGCCATTACCGCAGGGACAAGGCACAAGGCCGTCGCACGTTTTTCCTATCACGGGAACGGGTCAACTGGCCATGGCAACTCACCAACACTCACATTTACAACTATTAACGAGAATGGTTTCTTTTTCACCCCACACAGAGAAACTGCTCAACTCATCGGGACGCGAACTCCGCAGAGCCTTGTTCTCCTTGAAGCAAATCTTTCAAGTACGTCAATCACCAAATCGAAGAGTCGTTATCCGTTTCATTAGCTTGTGTTCTAATCTATCTTAACCACCACCTCGTTTCCTTGTTTTTCTTTTATGTTTGTAGGATGACAAAGATCTGGTTCACGAGTTTGTCAGCAATGACGGCTTGGCATGTTTGATCAACGTTGGCACTAGTGCAGACCAGAATTATCAGAACTACATTTTGCGAGGTAAGCTTGAACTACATTTCCGTAGTATCCGTGGTAGTGGTTAGCCTAACGGCTACTCTCATCTTTTTTTTGAAATGTGCTTTGTCAGCAGCAAGATAAGTGCTTGCTTTGCAATGTACACAACTAGCTGACATCGAACATCTAAAAGATATAGCAAAAACTTGCCACGCAAAGTCGGCAGTAGAAGTGTCATCCCCATTTAATTGATGGTCATTTATTTTGCTTTTTTGCTCACTAAATGGATGCCCTTTTTCTTATTTTTGCAGCCCTTGGCCAGGTGATGCTCTACGTGGATGGAATGAATGGCGTGATTGAGCATCCGGAGACAATTCAGTGGCTCTATGGTTTGATCGCCTCTGAGGTAAGTAAAACACCAGCTTTAAACAGAGTGACCCTCGTGCACTTTTTTTAAGCTGGAGCATTACGATGAAAGCTTTAATCGACAGTCGGTCAATCAGTTCAATCATGTAGTGTCGCCATAGATTAGTGTCAATTTTCCAGCAGTCAGAGCTAATCATCAGCGGCCTGTATTTGATTAATCGCTTTACCAGCAGTTTTTACCTTTTACCTAGTATTAGTTACAGGTAAAGAGGACACAAATGAGATGATCAAGCAGGTCAGCCTTCAATGTGCTATTTATTCAGCTCAAATGCCAGTGTTTGCAAGTGTTCTGCCAGCTATTTATTAATTACTCGTCCATTGAAGATACCAGTAAAGTAGAAAAGCCGTGTTTTAACTTACTTGAAGCAGCTCGTGTGAAGTGCGGCAGAGGAAGCAACAAAGCAACCACACGAGATAGTGCTCTCAATGTATGCGGACATTGCCGTAAAGTTCCTACTCCACTTGTGCATCATTCTTATCGATAGCTATCTTCCAGCTAATCTTCACCTGTTAATGCTATTAATTTATATATATAATTGCTATTATTATGCTGATGAGGATGGCAGTTTTCGGTTGTGTTTGTAGCCGTGGTTGTGGTGGTAGTAATGAACAAAAGCGACCTGCAAGCAAGGTGGCTAACAAAACTGGCGCACGACGTGGTAGAAGATGCGACACAGACTGAACGTGTGATGTGCTGAGAGATTAGTTGGCAAACACGCGCTCCAGCAAGCGTCGGTGAAAGCGCTTGGTGGCAGGTGAAAAGTCGATGATTAGCAGATCCAACTAACCCATGCTCCTTTTTTTCTTCCCGTTCTTTGTGCCCCCGCAGTATCGTCTTGTGGTAAAGACGGCGCTGAAACTTCTACTCGTCTTTGTTGAGTACGCCGACAGCAATTGCCTTATTCTAATCAACTGCATACGAGTTGTCTCCACTGAAAGAGGTAATGATGCTTCTTTATATTATATTTCCCCTGTTAATTGCCCTCCTTTGCAACTCATTTTTGTTCCCCTTTCTTTCAGTTTAACCCCTTTTCTCACTTTTATACCCACTCAAAACTTTGTCGTTTATTCACTCACTAACACACCCCAATATTTGTCCCCTTAACACAGGCGTCAAAGCATGGCACAACATAATGAGCATCCTCAATGAAAAGGACTCAGCGGACATTGAGCTGCTCATCTTCTCGATGACGCTGATCAACAAGACGCTGAACGGCATACCTGACCAAGACACCTACTACGACGTCTGTGATGTGCTGGAGGAGCAGGGAATGGAGCGAATCATTCAGCACTACATGTCCAAGCACGGCACTGACCGTGACTTGCTGCAGCAGTTCCGCATATACGAGGCAGTTCTGCGCCGAGAAGACGGCGACGACGACGGCCGTGGCATTCCACCTGACACTCGCCAGCTGCCTCGAAGTCGCAAGCCAGGCCCCGAAGAGGACAGACGGAAAAGCAAACGGCACTCCATTGACAGTATCAGTCTGTTGAAGCAGCCCTTTGTCGGCAAGCCAATCACCACCCAATTGGGTGACAGCAACAACAACACCAGCAGTCCCAGTCTGGGCAAGTCCATCAGCGTCAATGAGGCAGGGGCAGGGTACGGTGCCGGTGCGGGCAAGAAGGCGCCCATCAACCTCTACAACTTCCCCACCAATATAAACCCATCAATGGTTTCCAGTGGTTTTGACGACATCTCGGCAATGTCGCTGAGGAAGCGCCGTGACCGAGACACCCGCCCAAAAAGTCTCATTCGCGAGCACGAGACGCTGCACAATCAGCGGTCGAGTATATCGTCGTGCAGCAGCGCCGACTCCTATGGATCGTACGCCAGCTACGGCAGTTACGCCAGCAATGAGGACAATCGTACGGCCACGCTGATTGAGTCACTGAAAAACGGCCTAGACACGCCTTCGGTGGGCAGCACTGAAGATGACACTGACCGCAGTCTTGATTTGAGCAGTCGAAATTCTAGCCACTTAGAGGATGATTTGCTCAAGCCGAGCGACTTTAAGGGTTCTCGTGAGTCATTCAACCTATGGGAGACGACAAAGAAGCCATCATCAGCACTGAACGGCACAGCCACCCCTACCAGTCCCACCTCAACCTTTCTCAATGGCAATGGAGCCGTTGGCAACACTGCCGCCACAACAGCAGCAGCAACAACTGCTGCTGCTGCTGCTGCTGATTCGTCATTTGGCGGTCTAACTCGACAGCCCAGTTTGAAGGAGAAAAAGTCCTGGATGCTGTCAATGATGTACAGCAAAAACAGCGAGGAGGCACCAAAGTCGCCCAGCTACGTGAAGCCCACCATCAATGGCACAGCGAACGTCGTCTGGAACGGCGCTCTAAAAACGGCCGAGGCGACGGTCACTCCGTCTCCCACCGTGGTCAACGATCTCCTCAACCTGAACAACAAAGCCAGCGACTCGGTAAAGTGTCTCAAGGAGAAGTTCAGCCAGCCCAAGGTGGCAGAGCAGGCGGTGGTGAATGGCAACCTGCAGAGGGTACCGCTTGGGGGAGGTAAGGAGCTAGGTGATGTCAACAAGGCCAACAACCTCGAGTACCTTCAGTGGGAGCAGCTAGTTAACCAGCTGTCGCGGCCGCTGCTCATCAACGACCTCGACTTCACTGACCTCAGAGACGAAGATGACAATGACGTCTGTGCGCCGCCAGCAGTGACGGTAGTGCCCGGTGGGCCTCCACCACCGCCTCCTCCCTGCAATGGTCTGATGCCACCTCCGCCTCCTCCTCCGATGATGGGCACGCCGCCACCGCCTCCAATGCCGCCCTGCACGCCTCCACCGCCTCCTCCGCCCAGATTTGGCGGGCCAAGTCTGGGCAACTGGTCGGCAATGAACGGTCGTGGGCAGAACACGCCTTCTCCACCGGTGCCACCGTCACTGCCTTCCGATCCAAAGTCAATAGCCAAGGGAAAGAAAACGATTAAGCTCTTCTGGAAGGAGGTGAAAGAGGACAAATCACTGCTCAGTCGAATCATGAAAAAGAAAACCATCTGGGACGAGATCAAGCCCATTCCTATTGACACGACGAAACTTGAGCACCTTTTTGAGAGCCGTGCAAAGGAAATCATCAACAAGGTATGTTACTATTGTGCATTTTTACTGATCATTGTGTATCGCTGCTAACCACTGCCACTTTGCTGCTAACCCAATCCCCCTAACATCTCGTCTTTCATGCAAATGCATCTCATCTTCATTGCGTCTCCACTAACTGACTAACAACGCCAAAAATGCTTCCTCTAGACGTTCGATGTAAGACCATTGCCGCCGGTTTTGCTTACCGTTCTCTGCCATAATCACATCGATAACTAACACTGCTTCTTTTTTGTTTACCTTGTAGAAATCACAAGACTCAGGAAAAAAGAATGAAATTTTAGTGCTGGACACTAAAAGGTCAAATGCCATCAACATTGGCATGACAAAGCTACCTCCACCGCGCACCATCAAAACGGCCATCCTAAAGATGGACCCGACCATCATGAACAGAGAGGGCATTGATAAGATTCTCACCACGATGATGCCCACTGAAGAAGAGAAGAACAAAATCATCGAGGCGCAGATAGCCAATCCTGATGTGCCACTTGGTCAGGCAGAGTCCTTCCTCTTGACGCTCTCCTCCATTACCGCTCTGGAAGCACGCCTACGCTTGTGGGCGTTCAGACTTGATTACGAACAAATGGAGAGAGAAGTGGCCGAACCGTTGATGGACCTGAAGCAGGCAATCATTGAGCTGGAGAAGAGTGAGACATTCAAAATTATCCTCGGAACGCTGAGGTCGATTGGTAGCTTCCTGAATGGTGTCGAGACAAAGGGCTTTCAGATTGAGTACCTCGCTAAGGTGCCGGAAATCAAGGACACCGTGCACAAGCACTCACTGTTGCACCATCTCTGTCATATGGTGATGGAGAAGTACCAGAACACAACGGACCTCTACTCAGAGTTGGGCGCTGTGTCGCGAGCCTCAAAGGTGGACTTTGAAGAGCTAGGCAAGAGCCTGACCAAAATGGAGCACGACTGCAAGGCCTCATGGGAGCACTTAAAGGTGGTGGCCAAACACGATGGCTCCTCTCCCATGAAGGTCCGCATGTCAGAGTTCTTGGCCGAGTGTGCAGAGCGGATCATTGTCCTGGGCATCATCCACAGACGGGTGCTCAACCGTTTCAAAAAGTTCCTCGTTTTTTTGGGCATGCCCTCTTCAGCCATCAAAGAGAACAAGCCTAATTCACTGCTGAAAACGGTCAGTGAGTTTGCGCTGGAGTACCGCACCACCAGAGAAAGGGTCAAGGAGCAGCTGGAGAAGAAGGCAAATCATCGAGAGCGCAATAAAACACGTGGAAAGATGATCACTGAGGTTTGTTTTTGTTTTTTATTTGTTGTCAAATGTGAAAACTCATTCGGTCTGTTTTTTGAGCAGATGGACAAGTTCAACATTCGACCTGCCAGTATGGTGGTGAACACCAAGGAACAACAGGCTGACCTTGATCTGAAGAAAATACTGAATCGATCGAACGACCTCGAGACGGAGGCCTACTCAGGAAATGGTACCACAAAGTGGGGCACGCTGCCGGGCACTAAGCTTCGCCGGCCATCGACTGGCTCAATGAGCAATCTGAGCAACATCAGCAATGGCAGCTCCAATGGCAGCGGTGTCATCAGCAAGGGCGGGCGGCAGATGCACGCCTACAGGCACAGTGTGCACATTGAGACGCCGTACACTGAGGGCGAAGACGAGATCCTCGAGAGCCTGGTCCGCTCCACCACACAGCAGCCTCTAAGAGCCAATGAGCGCAGTCGTCGTAAAGCTCGCTACGGCGACCGAAAGTCATGTAAGTCAACACGATTTTTTTTCTTGACTTGAAAAAGAAGTTAATTACTGTTGTTTCCTCTTTCCAGTGAGACGAACACTCCGTGGCAATCTGGACCTGTCCGAAGAGGAGCGACTGATGCTAGCGGCACTGGCCACCTAGGAAGCAGCCACCCCGGTGGTGGCAAGCAAGGACACCCCCTGGAAACTTTACTGTGATCTCAGCAATCGAATCAATACTTAACCGTTACCTAATGCCTGCACACACTCTACTGCGATGTTGACCCTGTTGAGATGATTAGCCCACATCACCCTGACTTTTGCGGACACTGCTACCACTAACTGCACTGATTATATTTACTTATTTATTGGATGGACACATCCACACTGACCTTCTTCTTCTTCTGCTAACCCTACCAGCTATGTCCGCCGTTCAAACTACGGACAGCACTCACTCGCACTCACACTCATCACAAAACACTTGAAAGTATTCGTGGCCCTCTCTACTCGCCCCTTACCGACCCTCCCCGTCCTCAACTTTGCCAATGAAACTGACTCTTTTCACAGGCCACCCGGTGAAGCATATGACCCGATGACGCGAGGATGGGGCGTCCCTGTCTCTTCTGGTAGCCGACAACATACACACACGCGCGCTGTCGTATGGCACCTCAACAACGGCATAACTTTTTCTTTTCCTAGTCAAGTTTGCGCTTCCACATTGAGACACACTTCTCATACTAAATTCTTTCCTACAACATCCGATACAGTACAGTACATTGAGCAAAGTTGATCCCCTCCCCTCTCCTCCCCAAATCGGATCGGCACAAACACTATTTATTACTTTACTCAGGCCGCGCCACTCATCCGCTTTTTCTGTTCCCTCCTCTTCCTCTTCCTCCTCTTGCTCACAACCGGTATTAGTTCTAAAGCATTGTGTCAATAACTCTTTGAATTGTACAGTACCTTTTTTCAATAAATGCCTTTTGCATTATCTTTTATTGTCTAGTTTAGTTTAAATTCATTCATTTCATTATTGCGCAACTTTTGTATTTGGAACTTTATGGAATTTCAATAAAACGCGTCACATTTACTAAACTCAACTTTATTATTTGCAATTTTGAGAGATAGTTGAGCAGCTTTGAGCAAAAGTCAATACGATGGTCAACGACGATAAAAAGTCGCCGAGTAAGAAGTCCAACAAGAAAAAGATAAAAAGCAAAGAGTGCAATGTTGGAAAGTCAAAAGTGATTCTCAGTAAGGTCACTGTCTCATCGTCAAAGTGCTCAAAAGGCAAAAAGAAAAAGAAAAGTGCTACTAAAACTCCGAAAAAGCCAAAAAGTGGCGCCAAGCCAAAGTCGGCAGACAAAAAGAAAGCACATGGCGAGGCCAACAAGGTGTCTGGCGTCTTGCAATCGGCAGCCACTTCTCTCTACAAAACATTTACCTTTAAGCCTTTGTTTGATGAAAATGCAAGCTCAATGAAAAGCAAGTCAGCAAAGAGTAAGAAAAGGTCTAAGGGTAAAAAGTCAAAATCGAAAACGTCAAACAAAAAGCGAAGCCACAGTCACAGCTACGCCAACAAAAAGGACAAAAAGCTGAACAAGAAGGGCAAGTCTTTCTTTGAAATCGAAGTCACCTGTGATGGTGATGGAAACCGCAAGCACACCGACTTCCCGCCACTGCCAACTATGAAGCCAACAAATGACTCCGGGAAGTCAGTTGGTAAAAAGAAAAGTAAACATCACAAAAGCAAGTCAAAAATCGGGCACAAGAAGTCGAGCGGCCTAGTGGTCAAGAAGTCTCCTTCTGCTAAGAAACCGCTCAGCAAGACTAGCAAGATAAAGAGCAACAAGTCAAAAGAGAAGCCCAACACCAAAAAGTGATGGCAATCATTGATGATGACTTACCTCTGTCTTCAATTCTGTTTTGCCTTGAGAAAACTTTAGTTTTTTCTACTACTGAGATGATTGCCATTAAATATCTTTAAGACATTGTTAATTGAACTTTTACTTGCTAATAAATAAGTTCAAATGAAAAGTCAGATCACCCTAAATCACCGGGCGTCAGCCCGGTGCAAAGTTACTGTTACCCGCGAGATTTTTGGCACAGATACTCAGGAGAAATAATGTGATTTTTTGAACCAAGTATCAGATTTTTGTGGTGGGACTACTTAATTAAAAGTAATTTTAAAAAAAATAGTTTTACATTAAATTTTTGTGCTGAATAAGACATTTCTACGAAAAGACAGTTTACCGAAAAATAAAATAAACTTAGTCATCTGAAAATGAGTTTTGGTAATAAGTCTATTTTGACAAAATGACTTTTTTAAATTATCAGATGCTAGTCCCACCACAAAAATCTGATACTTGGTCCAAAAAAACACATTATTTCTCCTGAGTATCTGTGCCAAAAATCTCGCGGGTAACAGTAACTTTGCACCGGGCTGACGCCCGGTGAATATTTTTAAATGAATCTCCTCGTATCCGCCTGGTGGACAAAAAGCGAACTCTATTCCTGTCACTGTATCGAGGTGTGCCCCCGAAGCTTGAGCCTAGAGTCTTTGCTTCTGAGCGACAAATACGGGCAGGGACTACTAGCGCCGTCTGTCGGACAAGTTAACACCGTTTGCTTATGAATACTAACGCATTATCTGTGACAATTATTCAAATCAGAAACTGAATTTGCTCGCTTTTTTGTTGAAAAACAAATGTTGATATGTTAAATTAAAATTCGTTCATTGCACAAACTTGCAATACAAAAAATGTGATAACTTTGACCACATTAAAAACGGTTAACTCGTTCTGCAGATGGCGCCAGTAGTCCCTGCCCGTATTTGTCGCTCAGCAGCAAAGACTCTACTTGAGCCGCAAAGGCATTTTTTTTGCAAACAAAAATCTTCTGGATCGATTGCCATCTGCAAACGCTACCGGACACCGAAATGGCTGAAAACATCTTGATCGACGGAAAGCCGCTTCATCTGCTTCGGGTGGTCGATCTGCGCGAGGAGCTGAAGAAGCGGAACATCAAAACGACCGGCACCAAATTGCAGCTTCAGGAATCGCTCATTAAGGTGAGTGTGTGTTTTGTTTGC